GGAAGGAAGGAGGGAGGGAGGGAGGGAGGGAGGATCCTACTTAACTCTGATCTGGAAGAAATTCTTAGAAAATCAGATTTCTACATTTCTACATTCTGGTCAGGCTTCTGCAGTCCTAGAGCGAGCCTTGGACGCACTCGGGAAAAGCCCAATTCTTGTGCTTGGAATGAATGAGATGCTGGAGAGGGAATGATTTGGGCTTTGCAATCAAGCTCTGTCAAGGGTGAGACCCAATCCATGCAGCCAGCGAGAGGATGCAGGCAGACCTCCCCGGAAGCCTCGGTCCCCCAGGCCGGGCACCTTTGCCACTGCAGAGCCAGCAGGAGCCAGGCTGGGGGGGGGGGGGCAGAGTGGCGACCAGAGCAAACCCTTGAGGAAGGGAAGGCGTGAGCGGCGGCCGCCAGACCTACCATCCTCGAGGGTGGTGGTGATGATTTCCTGAGAAGAAGGTCCCGTCCCGGCCCGGTTGCAGGCCTGCACCACCAGGCCGTACTGGGTGAACTTATTGAGGTTGTCCAGGGTGTAAATCTCACTGTCCCCAGTGGTGTCAATACTGATAATGTTGAATTGGAAGTTGCCCCCAGTGCTGTACTCGCGGTAACCTATTTGGTAGCCACGGATAATCCCATTTTGCAAATGTTTCTTGGGAGCCTAAAGAGGAAAAGAAAAGAATACACTAAGGAATCCTGGGGGAACAACCGGAGGGGAGCCAGCCCACCCCCTCGAAGGAAAGCGGAATGAAGTCTGAAGGTCATGGTAATAATAGCAGCAGGTGTCCGGTGGGGGTGCGGTGAGGGGAGCTGGCGGCGAGCCCATGCACAGCCTGTTCCCGGCGGGGGGCACTTCCTCCGGAATTCGGAAACACCGAGCGCACGCGCAGTGCCATCGCCGACCAGCAACACACAGGACCCCTGATCGTCGCCCCTTCGCCCGGCAGAATCTGCCGAGCTGGAGCTGTTCTGCCAGGTTGTCCGAGGCACTGGGGAGCACAGAGGATTTTTTACAACAAGGTCCCTGCCCTTGCGGAGCTTACGCTCTCATGGAATGTTCCAGAATAAAGGTGTTTCCAGTTGGCAGCTGCGAGTAAAAGGAGTGCACCACCGACAAGAAGGCACAAATCATCTCGGAATCTTACCATGGTGATTTAAAGCGGGCAGCAGCGAGGCTACAGTTAGCTACTTCACTAATGACAGAGGATCTGCAGAGTCTGCAATATCGTGGGTTCTTAGAAGAAACCAAACTCTCTTCAAGTGTGTTACGAGAACAACACAACAGCGATGCTCTAAAGCAATAAAGGTTTTGGAGCCTTTCAGGCAGTCAAGTGATATGTGTGAGTGTGCTGTGTCTGTGTTCACTACAAACCATGGATTTAGGTTACTCAGGACCATGAAAGGCTTTCTCTGTCCCCAAAGTGCTGCCAGTCCAGTTGGAGAGAGGGAGTAAACACTTAGGACACCATAGAGAATCTCAGGTGTCTAAGCGTCCGGCACTGGACAGCGAAGGCCGGTGGGCATCCAGAAAGTGGCAAGCTCAGAGTGGTTTGAAGAGGGCGGCCCCCGCGGGCTTGGAAGGATGACCGGGGTCTGGGATTGGGAGGGGAGGAGGTGGCGAATGGTGCCTGCAGAAAGCAGCTGGGGGAGGCAGAGAGGCTGGAGCAGAGTGAGGGGTGCCCAGCACATAGCAGTGAGGAATGGGGGCTGGCCAGCAGATAGGGCGAGGCCACGGGGCGGGCAAAATGCGAGCCCGGGGAGTCCACACAGGGAGAAGGCAGAAGGGGCTCGGAGCAGCACTAATGCATCTCAGCAAGTATTTATGAATGGCCTACTATGCCCCCCCCCCCCGCCCAGGGGGATTAGATGGTGCCGGTTGTGTTTGGGTGTTTGTTAGTCTGAGCTCTACAGGGACAGTAGAATCACATTTTTAAAAAGCAGGTTTCCTCATTTTTGGTTGTTTTTGGATTGCCACTGCTTTGCTCAACATCCAGTCTCATTTCATGCATGTACACAGTTCCGATGGAGATCAATAAAACAGTCGTCCAAATCATGACGTTTTTAGTTAAGCTGGCGCTGTTGGACCCTGACATGAGAGCTCATCCCTTTTTTACAAGCAAGTCTCTCGGCAATCTTGTTTTTCCAGTGATGAGCTATGAATTTTCACTTTGTATTAAATCAGATCTAAAGACTTTAGATTTTGAGAATTTGATTCCATGGAAATTATCTTACCACAACCACTGAACTTGCATTTATGTCATTTAATTAATTAATAAAATTTATTTCCCTGCAAGAGTCATCTATAAGTCAAATTTGAAACAGATATTTTTCTTATTTCATGTAGTTTTTAAATGTTAAATACATTGACCCAAATATAAATGACACATATTTTTAAAGATTGGTTTATGCCCATTAAATATTCTAATTTTTCAACTGGCTCCCTGTGTAGGCTTAAGACCTCCTCAGATACTAAATCAGGATCACAGTATGGTGGTTATGGCATCAGGTCAAGAAGCAAGTGAAGGGCGTAGAGGCAAATGCCCATCAGAAAACGTTTACCTAGAGAGGCAACCAATTTAGCTAAATCTTCCAAAAGCAGGGGGATCTGCTTGCTGACTTTTAGCTTCTTGGGTTTGTGATCTGATTGCACAGGTAGGGTGGAGTCTTCTTGTTTTCCCTCCCATAGAGGAATATATATTCTAACTAGCTTAATTTATGACAGGCATTTTTTAAAGATTTTATTTTTTTTGAGAGAGAAAGAGAGAGAGAGGACATGAGAGAGAGAGAGAGCATGAGTGGTAGGGAGGGGCAGAGGGAGAAGCAGACTCCCCGCTGAGCAGGGAGCGCAATGTGGGACTCGATCCCAGGACCCTGGGACTATGACCTGAGCCGAAGGCAGACACTTAACTGACTAAGCCACCCAGGCACCCCATGATAGACATTTTTAATCAAAGGAACATTTACTCAGCCATCAGAAAGGATGAATACCCAACTTTTACATCAACATGGATGGGACTGGAGGAGATTATGCTAAGTGAAATAAGT